TTCCTCCTGCAGTCGGCGTCATTGCCTCTGTTTTGTGAGGTGGAGGACTTTGTGGACTGGTGTTGGGTTAATGGGTTAATGTTGGACTTGTGGGCTTGGGAAGCATTGGGTTGGGATGTTTTTGTGATGCACACTTTCTTTACATAAAACTCTCTCTTATCCATGAGTCGCTGTGGATTTGTTTCTCCAAAGTACCTAGACTAATACAGATGCAAAGGCATCCGCCTGTGTGTATCCTAACACACCATGGACAGCCTTGAGAAGAATGGGAATTACGGCGCACTATATCGGGCTCCTGTGAAACCCGTACATGGACCAAGAAGCAGCCGTAGGAACAGAACAAGAAAATAGTGTATGAGTCGGAATCAAACCTGATGACAACGAGTTCGCGTTTTTGTGAGTTAGGATCAGGCCAGGGGTGCACCAGGGCTGCTTCTGATCACCTGGTTATTCACCTGCGCGCTGAGCACGTACTCCGAGAAGCTGGACTGGAGGGATGAATGCAGCATCCGGACCGGAGGGAAGCTTATTAACAGCCTTCAACAGGCAGACAACACAACCTTGCTGGCCGAGGGCCAGGAGGATGTGGCCAATGAAGATCCAGGACTCCAGCCTTCGGTATGGATTACACGTCAAGGTAAGGAAGCCCCAAATACTCACAACCAGACCCGCAGATAACATCGTGATACACAGAGAAAAGATCCAAGTTGTTCAAGGAGTTCAATTTGCTTGGATCCACCATCCACGATCCTGGAAACAAGCAAGAAATCCAAAGACACGCCGCACCGGGCAAATGTGCCGCACGAGGTGCCTTTAGAGAGCTGAAGAACACGGACTAAGATGCGGCCGGGCCAAGCCGTGGTCTCTTCAATCATCCTGTAGGCATGTGGAAGTTGGACACGGAATAATGCAGACCTCAGAAGAATGGGTGCATTTGAATTTCAGCGCTGGAGAAGAGTGCTGAGAACACCACAGGGTTCCAGAGGGACCGACACACCTGTTTTGGAAGAAGTCCAGCCAGCGTGCTCCTTAGAAGGAGCTTAGCAGGGACCTCCGGTCTGTCCCAGGTGCCCAGACGTCGGCCTGGCTACTCAGGATCTGGGTCAGTGGCTCAGAGATCATGACCTCAACCCAGCTCAACGCCAGTTCACAGGGCCCCCATGTGTCACAGGGCACAATGGCCCACACCTCCCATTCACGTTTCTGGCTGAAGCCCCCAGACGACAAGTGGCCAGGTCAGGGGCGAGTGTCTCTGCAAAAATGCTCAGCGAAGTGCTTTGGACATGCTGTCAGACCAGTCCCTGGAGAAGAACATCGTGCTTGGTGAAGTAGAGGGCAGTGGGCAAGAGGAAGGCCTTCGACGAGGTGGGTTTACACGGTGGTTGCAGCGATGGGTTCGGTGACAGGAACAATTGTGAGGATGGCGCAGAGGGTACAGAGGGTGGCTAGGGGTCAGAGCCGACGGCACTTAACAGCAAGTGCTATAAAAGGGACTCCTGCTCTGGGCACAGGGCTCTCCATTCCCTCCCCTGGGGCCTTTGGCAAGAAATGGGAACCAGCACAGGTTTGAAGACTGCTCCTTAATGATGGGGCTGCACCAATGGCATCTGGTAAACTTCCACCCTGGAAAGATAAGGGTCGGAGTGTGCTGGAAAGAACGATCCCAAAACGTGAGATGAGATGCGTCCCGGAGAAGTGGTATTTCGTGGCATCGGGCCCATCCCCGTGAATGCTCTCCCATCCCGTGTATGAGCAACTCACAGAGGGTGTGGTCAGGGGCCAGGCTGTGACTGGTCCAGTGGAGGCGGCTGGAGCACTGAAAGACCACCCACTCACCCAGATCAGCTGCAGCGGATCCCCAGACTGACACAGGTCCACCGATGGCCACCCGGTTTCATGCACCCCCTTGTCCTCTGGTCAGCGAGGGCTCCTCTCAGGCAGGGGGCTCTTCCTATGTAGTGTGGCTGTCAGGTGTCGTTGAGTGCTCGGGGTTCCAACTCAACAGAACACAGCTCAGTCCTGCGCCACCCCGCCACCATTGCTACATCTGAGCCCACACTTGCCACTT